GACTGAAGGACTGACTTCTGGCTGGTTGAGATTCTGGTTGTGATGGACCCAGGGTTTTTATATTTTAGGATTACCAATACTAATATAGTATAGTATAATATCACAAAAATTGTTGGAAATATTAAAAATCTGAAAATAACATGATTACTTCTATTATATTCTAAATTTTCCCCCCTCTGGCTCTATTTTGGTTCATCAGTTATGTTGTTCATTATATTCTACAAATGGGTGAGATTATGTGATATTATTTTTTTTAAAAGAATATTTTAAAATTTATTTCAGAGAAAGGAAGAGAGAGGAAAAGAGTAATAGAAACATCAATGATAAGAGAGAATAATTGATCTGCTGCCTCTTGCATGCCCCAAAACCCAGATATGTGCCCTGACCAGGAATTGTACTGGAGACAGCATGGCTCATTGGTTGACACTCAACCACTGAACCACACTGGTAAGACATGACATTTTTTTTAATGGCAGCTTTTTATTTCTCAGGGGTACATACAATGGTGATGAGATAAGAAAGAGAAACTACAGTTTTTGCCTATTTATCACATATCAAGAACTGTGATGAGCAATTTTTGGACATTATTTCATAGAATCCTCCCATGAACCTTATGAAGGTGGCATTTTCAGTTTTGTGGGAGGCTTAGACTCAGAGGGTTACAAGACTTATCCCAAGATCACAAGTTGGCAAGTGTCAGAGTTGAGATTTGAACACAGATCAGGATGGCTTTATTATAATATGAGCCTTTGGATTCTCCATCTGACTGTCCCTTAGCTTGTTATGGTCATAGAATAGTTTGCAAACCTTTAAGTTCTGGTGCTAGGAAGGACCTTATGATCACAGGGTCTAGTTCATCATGTTACAGAGGAGGCAATTGAGGTTGAGAGAAGTGAGTTTCTCAGGCAGTCACAAAGGAAGTTGTGGCACCGAGAATCAGCATGGCCAATGGGACCAGTCTCGGTTGCCCATCATCTCTTGAGGTACTGGCACTGAGCTCATTCCTCTCCTGTTGTCTTGCTCCTTCAGACCTCGGGACAGTTGCTCACCCATGTCCTTTCCTCCTCCCCTAACCCTAGAGAACCTGTATCTTGTGACTCACCCTCTGAAGTGACAATGAATGCTTATGAAGATGATAATGGAAGAAGATGAGAGAAGATTCTCTGGGGCTTTGCCTGGAGACATCGCCCATACCTTTATTTGTTACCTCAAGAGAGTGACTTTAATGGTAGGAATGCCAGCGGAGATGGAAGGGAAAGTGGTGGATGTACAGACTATGGTGGTGATGCTCTAGAGCAGTGGTTCTCAACCTTCCTAATGTCGTGACCCTTTAATACAGATCCTCATGTTATGATGACCCCCAACCATAAAACTATTTTCATTGCTACTTCATAACTAATTTTGCTACTGTTATGAACCGTTATGCAAATATCTGTGTATTCCGATGGTCTTAGGTGATCCCTGGGAAAGGGGCCACGACCCCCAGGTTGAGAACCGCTGTCAGGGGTCGCCTAAGACCATCGGGAAACACAGATATTTACATTACGATCCATATGACTAGCAAAATTACAGTTATGAAGTAGGAACAAAAATAACTTTATGGTTGGGGGTCACCACAACATGAACTGTATTAGAGGGTCGCAGCATTAGGAAGGTTGAGAACTACCGGTCCATAGGGATCAGAGCCTCAAGCACCTTTGTCTCACACAGCAGCCCCTCACTCTGCCGGTAGAGAGGCAGGTGATGGGGCCTAGTGTAAGGATTGGCCTCTGTGCACCGTTCCCCTTCTCTATCCCCAGGCGAGGCTGATGGGCCTCTGCCCTCCACTGGGAATGGGTTCAGAAGCCTTTTTAACAGGGTTCCAGACAGAACCTTTCAACTGACCCCCAATTGGTTATAGGGATGAAACACCTATGTGCCATCCCCGGTATCATCGAATGCAGATGACAAAATAGCTGAGCCTCCATTCCTCCCAATGGGCAAAGGAGAAAATAATCACAGAACTGTGGTAAGATTTAGAGAATATAGGTAAGAGCGCAGCAGATTTCACGGAGCCTGGTCCTTATAGCTGCTCAGCGACTACCAATTGTCATTATTATCACATTAATGCGGGGGGGGGGGGGAGTGGGGAGGAGAGGCATGCTGGCACAACTGTGTTATAAGGAAGTTAGCGATTGCAGAAGAAAGGTACTCGTGGCCTCCTTTTGTTATCTCCCTTTACCGTGTGACATTGCAGACACAAGTCCGGATGTTTCAGGTCAAATCTAAAAGGGTTGAACCCTTTTCTTGAGAAACCCACTTCAGGATGACAGCTCACCGCCCACTGGCTGGCTCTAGACCAGGCAAGTTGGGAAGATCACACCAGGTAAAGCAGTCTGTCCTCATCCCACCCAAGTTCTGATCATTCTACTCACAGGCGGAGGGTTGAAGAAAGTCCCTTATTCTCAGACTAGTTCAATTTTCTATAAAACCCATATAATAGTCTGACTCTAGAAATAGGTATGTTGATACAGTGATGGACTCACTGAGAGTTGTTATATGTCTTGGAAAAAACAAAACAAAACAAAACAAAAACACCAAAACAAACCCCCAAACATTTAGGGAGTAAGATGTATGTTTAAAGAACACTTTTTATTTTGCAGAAATTGGGAATTCTTTAACTTATTTTTTTTTTAGTATCATTTATCCATTTAATGTGCATCCTAAATGTCTCTGGCTATGTCATTATTTTCAGTAAACTCTAAAGGTGATGTCTGCTTCATTCATTTTTTAGAGCATCCAGAACAATACCACAAACATGAGGTCTTCAATCCATTTGTGTGCTGCTGTTGCAGATTTGAGTACAAACAGCGTCCCATACTCCTATAGAACACTATTTCATTCTCATTTTAGACTTTTAAGAACCAGAAATCATATCATTATATGTAGCACAAATGTAACTTATTGACTTATTTTATTTTTTTAAAGTATCACTATTCATTGTCTTTCTATTACAAAAGGCTGCTCAATGTAGAAAATGTGAAAAATGCCAAAAACTCTGTAGAGGACACCCAATGTCCTTAATTCCCATGCTGGAAGATAAATTGCTTTGAACATCTTGGTATTTTTCCCCCCTAAATGATTCATTTTCAAGTGTTATTAATATTATCTAATCCTTAACTCATCTTAAGACTTTCAAAATGATTCTTTTCCCTGTGATTTCCATCCTTTCAGCTAGTGATCCAGTGTTCTTTCCAGGAAGAATTATTGCTTTGTTATTTCTCAATGTATTGAATTGCATTGTGAGTTAAGGGAAAGAGTTTGCCACGAGCTACTAGTGACTGACTCCTGTTTCGAAGGAAAGTTGTGGTTACCACGTAGGAAAACTTAATCCATCTTGCCCCAATGCATTTGTTGTCCCTAGAGCCAGGTGAACTACCTCTGACTGCTTCCCTAGGATTATGTCACCCACCGAGGTAACTTTCTGTTTCAGTAGGTGATGTTAAGAAACAAAACAACACCCTTTGAGTTGATCAGTTTTGGAAAATAGAGACCTGCTTTATATCCCAGGTCTTTGATGTGCTCGGTGGCTCCTGTAAGGATCTGCCTCTCTTTTGTGTTGACTGACAAGACCTTTCCTATATATATGTGAGCAGTCAAGCAGCCCAGTAACGGAGGGTAGAGACATTTACCCAGAGCGAGCTTCTGCCACTCAGCGTGACTTGCTAAGACCTTGGGCAAGTGTGAGCTCTGAGAGAAGAGTTGGCTCCGGCAAGAGCAGGTGAGTGCATCTCATCTCTGGAACTTCATTCCTCACGAGGGGAGGTCCAAAGAGTCCTGCTGAGGTAACAGGTCAGAAGCAAGAGCTGGGAGGTCAGGTTTGGAAATAAATAACTCTGCAACCTCTTTTAAGTGATAATGAGTTGGGGGTATTCCATAAGTGCAATGTCCACTCTCACTGTAACACCCGTATGTTCTGTCTAGTGGGCCGAGCATTTAGGGAGAGGCTCTGGCCCCCGAAAGAGGCAGGAAATGACCAAGATGCAAAGAGGGCAGACTCACAGTAGCCTTACAGGGATTATGTTTTAGCATCTCCAAGTTTTCCATCATCTGGATTTAAATGGAGTCACAGTGAGGGGCCACAGCAGCAGAAGCACAGAGCGGAGGCCCCGGGCAGTGAAGGGGGCACACTTTTATGGACGGCCACCACGTCAGGTGCCAGGTTTCATAACATCTGTTCACATCCAGGCTTTGTGGAAAGTTGGGCTAGTAAAAATATAGAAGGGCGTACAATTATTATTTACCTACCTCCCCAGCTTGATTCTCCATCCACAGCACTGAAAATATAATTAAAAAAAATATTTTATTGATTTTTACAGAGAGGAAGAGAGAGGGATAGAAAGTTAGAAACATCGATGAGAGAAAATCATCGATCAGCTGCCTCCTGCACACACCCCACTGGGGATGTGCCTGCATCTATAGTACATGCTCTCGACCAGAATCGAACCCGGACTCTTCAGTCCGCAGGCCGACGCTCTATCCATTGAGCCAAATCGGTTTCGGCTGAAAATATAATTTTAAACAAACATGCAACATGGCACCAAATACAGTGGACCTGAAGAAAAATAATGTGTGTGTATCCATGTAGTATGTTATGACATGCATAATTTTGGGTGTGATTCATAGTCTGTGTTCATTGAACCAGCTTTTTTATTTTTAATTTTGATTTTTAACACCCATGTCAAGTCCAGCAGTTGAGACACAACAAGGAAAAGCCCGAGGTTCCCCTTGGAGGGCTGAGTGTCCAGTGAGCACACGGGCCTGTGGGATCTGTATTGGAGTCGGTGAGAGGGAAATGAGGGCCCCTATAGTGGGGTTCGTGGGCGTCTGCAATTTCATGGCTTATTTCTTTTGAAATGCCGAGAGCCAGGCCCTTTGGTGTCAGCCTCGTTGGCTGCCCTATGGAGGGCAGCTGGACCAGCTAACAGACTCTCCTTCCTCTCCCTCTCCCGGGGAGCAGCATGAAGCTGGCATACCTGTTCCTCGGCCCCCTGGCCCTCCTCCTCCTGGCCAGCTGCTGCTGCTGCGTCCTCGGCACCTCCGGTGGGAACCTGCGCACCTTCGTGGGCTGTGCCGTCAGGGAGTTTACTTTCCTGGCCAAGAAGCCGGGCTGCAGGGGCCTTCGGATCACCACCGATGCCTGCTGGGGCCGCTGTGAAACCTGGGAGGTGAGTCCAAGACAGGCCCACTGGCCTGATTTCTGAGCATCTGCTTTTTCCTTCGGATTTAAAAAAAAAAAAAATTATTATTTCTCTGGCTGGTGTGGCTCAGTGGTTGAGTGTTGACCCATGAACCTGAAGTCTAGGTTTGATTCCCTGTCAGGGCACATGCCCAGGTTTCGGGCTCGATCCCCAGTAGGGGGTGTGTAGGATTTAGCTGATCAGTGATTCACATCATTGATATTCCTAATCCCTCTCTTCCTTTCCCTTCTTCTCTCTGAAATCAATTAAAAAAAACTCACACAATTATTTGGCATGCTCAACAAACAAACAAACAAACAAACAAACACACAAAAAACGGAAAGAAATCCAATCTTGTCCCTCTAACAATGCATTGATAAAATTAATAATTTTATTTGTGTGTATCTGTGTATTTGGGAATCATCTCTGGGAGGTTAAGACGTGCTGTTATTCTGCTCACTTCACAGATGACATGGAGGAATTTGAGGGATAAGTAACTGGAGCGTCATGTTTATTCCTGGGGTGCAAAGGTGGGAGTAAATTCTTGGTACAAGCATGTAACCAAAACGCTCAGTGTTCTCCCAGGGTGAGGAAGCCAGCCAAGAGACAGCCCTGAGCTGCGGAGCAGGCGAGGGTGGGTCCTCAGCGCCTCTCCCACCTGCTCAGGATTATCACGGGCAGAGCCACTAAGTTCCTTTATATTGAATTATAATCAGCCTTTTCAGCGGCATTGCATTTTAAATGGGGATAAAAAAATCTCAAATTTAGAACCCTACAGGGCTGTGATGAGGATCTGTTTGCCATTCCCCATCAGATCACACGGAGTGACGGCTAGCTCTTCCCCCTGAGCTCTGAATTGGTTATAATGAGGGACCGGCTCTGATCTTGTCACCATCTCGAAAATCATTAAGGACACCCACTCCTGCCCATTCGATGCCCAAAGTTCAAGGTCCTTAGCAATGTGACAGTCTGGCTGGTTCCCAGCGGTTACCCATAGCCTGAGGCCTGGCCTTGTCAGATGGATTTGTAAAGGTTTTATTAAACACCCTTCCTGAGATCTCCCCTTTGGTTCTCTGTGTATCCTTTCTCCTTCCCACCTGTCACGATCAGACTTCTTCGTTGAGGCCCATCTCCGGAGCTGACTCCTCCCCAGGGGCCTTCTGTCTCCCTGGGCAGCCTATGACGCTGCCCTGCCTTGCTTCTCACTTCCTTGCCTGCAATACAACTCTAGGTTTGAAGATTTTTCAGGGCATGGGTAAATTCTTGCACCTTTTACAGCTCTTGTCAAAGTCATGTATGAACAAAGCATTCGTAAGTATTATACCTGCTGAATTCCATGGGATGGACTCTCCCGGGAGTGTTTCTCCTCTAGCTTCATCCACACCAGCTTCATCCTGAGCACCACGAGGGGACACACCGCCACTGGGAAAACTGTGCTTCCGTTCAGGGACTCAGGCAGCCATCTGCTGCTGCTTAGATAAATGATGGCCCCTCGACGGGGACTGGGTTATGGGGATGAAACCTCCGAATTAAATGAAACACCGAATTAAGTTTTATTTTTGCATCGTTTAGGGGCTTGAGACCGAGTAGCCATATGAACATGAGGTGGCCCAGGATGCTGTGGCTGTGACTTGACATCACACAAACTCAGGGAACTTGGACACCTTCTCATACTCAGGGGGTGGCCCGATGGGGAGCCCTCTGCTCCAATTCCAGGTGGGGGCTCTTTGGAGCCCAGGTCTCAAGCCCCCAGGTCCCTCAATCCTGTCTTCTCTTCTCCTTATTTATGGAGGAAAGACTTTAATTGGGTCACGGTCATCCAGAGGAGGTCCCGGGAGAAACGGAGGCAGCAAGGCCCTGAGAGACAGGATTCTCCTTGATGCTAGCTCGCTTTTATTTATGCCTCGATCGTGCTGTGGAAAGGGAGGTTACTTACAGAAAATAAATAAAAGGCTGAGATTTACTTTCCCAGCAATCTGAAAATTTCTGAGATAAAAAGCATTTATTTTTATCTGGGAGCACATCTGAAAATAGGATGTTCCTGACGAGAGAGTGGCTGCATTTGCTTTGAAGGTCGGACGTGGCTGAAAATAGCCTTCGCTCATGGTCTGGGTTTAGGGTTTCCAGATTTAGCAAAAAAAAAATAAACCCCAAACAGAACAAAACCACAATGCATTAAACTTGGATGCCAGATAAACACAACTTTTGGGGGGGTACATGTCTTCCCTATACCGAATTGCTCTTGTTGTCTCGGCTTTTATTTGACCATCTAAGTTAGTGGTCGGCAAACTGCGGCTCTCAAGCCACAGGCAACTCTTTGGCCCCTTGAGTGTGGCTCTTCCACAAAATACCACGGCTTGGGCGAGTCTAATATTTTGAAGAAGTAGCATTAGAAGAAGCTGAAGTTTAAAAAATGTGGCTCTCAAAAAGGAAATTTCAGTCGTTGCACTGTTGATATTTGGCTCTGTGGACTAATGAGTTTGCCGACCACTGGTCTAAGCTATTGCATGTTTAACAATTCTTGCGGCACCTCGGTTGAATATGGCTCTCCTAACGGTTCCCTGTTTTCTGCCTGTGGGGACAGAAGCCCATTCTGGAGCCCCCCTACATCGAAGCCCATCACCGAGTCTGCACCTACAATGAGACCAAACAAGCGATCGTCAAGCTGCCCAACTGTGCTCCGGGGGTCGACCCTTTCTACACCTACCCCGTGGCCGTCCGCTGTGACTGCGGGGCCTGCTCCACCGCCACCACCGAGTGCGAGACCCTCTGAGGCCGGCCTGGCCTGCAGCACGATGGCAGCCTTGAACCTCGCAGACCCTTTCCCCCCACCCCCCACCCGGCACGGGCAGCACCAGCAGCGATTACCCTGGATTGGAGGACTGTTTACCTTGGACCACACCGTGGAGGAGGTCACCTGTCTCCCTTGGCTTCAGCTCAGGCCCAGGCCCGGGGACAGCACCCAGCTAACAAAGCAAAACCATATTTGTGCCTTCGCTGGAGCAATTTCTCCGGCTCACACACCTGCTAAATTAATTTTCCTCTACCTTGAAGCTCAGGGCGTCATTGGTATAGCACCACGATGGGTTGATAGCATGCCAATGGTTTCAGGGCAGTGGGTGTAATCAGGAAACGGGGCTAGAAAGCCTTTAAATCCTCATGTCCTCCTGACTGACTGGCCCCCAATAGAGTTATGACGGAAGGGCCAGAAATCAATAAAACCAATGCTCCAGTCCCCATGCCTTCACCCCAAACCCCACTGCACGCTTCCTTAAGGAAAGTCCTCCCTCTCCTTTGAACTGGGCAATTATTAAAGGAGGCAGGGAGATGGTAACTCAAAAGGAAAGGAATCTGGATTTGGGTGATTCATTTTTTCAAGCAAAATTCCCTAAATCCCCTCAAGATCCTTACGAACAAGGTTCCTTTTAAATAAAAGTTCTCTGAAACAACAGGGAACGACAGCTGTCATTCACACTTAAACACTTACTAAACGAAACTCATGTTTTCAGACTCATGGGATGCTCTTCCAAAGCTAAGCCCAAAAACGATGAACCACAAACATTCTTTCCCCTGTAGCCTATTATAAATGGAAATTGTAATTTCTTTTTTACACTCAGAAGAAATGTTTGTAAGGGGTAAGACTGCATTGCTGGCTCGTGACTGTAGCTTCTGCTCTCTCTAAAGCCTCCGGCAGCTGGTTCTCTGGGGCTCTTTTAAAACTCCAGTGCTTTGCAAGTGTCTTTAAAGCTGACATTTTGGGGGTTGACATTGACCTGGCTCCTTTCCCACAGTACGCCATAAGAATCTTATTGCTGCAAATAAAGCCTGTCTTCTGTCTTGTGAATTGATGAGAACTTTCCAAAATGGTTTTTCATACACCTGGGATAACAGTAACAAGCCCTCTTTAAAATGAACCGGGACGTTACTTTGACATGAATGTGGGATGTCGTGTTTAGGAAGGAACATGGAGCCGGCTGTGTAGCATGAGTCCCTGGAGTGGCTCTGTCTGTGTTCCTACCCCTGACGCATCCCAGCTGGGAGCCAGGAGTCCTCGCTGAGGGGGGGGAATAACGAGTCCCCACAAAATCAGTAAAGCAAAAGTTGGGATTGATGGTTAGGGACTGGGAGGCTGACATTCGGGAGCAAAATCCACCCCACTCTTTAGTGCAGGTCTGTTTGGGAGGCAAGAAAGTCAATGCTGGCATGGCAAGTAGTTGAGTGCGTGGGGCCTCTGCAGGGCCAGGGCGGTGGGCGGTGACTGGGGATAATATTGAGTAGCACCATTCTAATGTTCTCAACCCATTCCCGAGAACGTCCCTCAGGACCTTTTTGAGAGAAAGGGCTGCTTCTTAAGGAAACTTTGGGTGCAGAGTCAGAGGTCATGGCTTGCCAGAATTTGAGAAATTCATCAGTAAGGGTCCTGGCAGGAAACCAAGGATGCACTGCAGTGGACATTGAGAAGGGTTTGAGCAGACTTAGGGAAACCAACCAGGGCTGTGAAACACGTCTAAACACTGGTTTAGAAGCAACGGGCAGCCCTAGGCTAAAGGAACAAGAAGGGGAAGTGACTATCCGAGCCCAGAGAGAACGGCAGGAGAGGGAGGCATAGGAAGAGGCAGCCATCACCAAGGTGAGGCCTGGTAGGGAGGGAGGCTGGACCCCCTCCTCCCTCACTCTGCTCCCATGCCTGGATCTCCTGCCGAATCAAACGGGAAGGCAGAGAGTGAGGGAGCCCATGGATTCCGTCCATAAATGCTGGCCTCCCGGGAATCGGGGGTGTTGCGTGCACCTGGCGGGTCCCCGTGGCCACGGCCCTCCATAAGGCAACATAAGGAGGGCACAGGGGAGGGCCCGTGCCTCATGGGAAGGCTGGGTAGTGGCGGTCCCTTGTAGATTGGGGGTGATGGCAGGAGAAAGTGCCCTGACACGGAGCTTCTCGGTGCCAGGGGAAGGGAGCGGGGTTCTGGAATAGCAGACCAGTGGCGACACGTGGCTGTAAGCGGCATAATTGCTGTCCCAGGCAGCAGAGCGCCTGGCAGCCAGGGCACTCTGATCTTCGGGGTCCCTGGGGCTGTTCCCTGCCCGTGGTGTTCAAAGACTTCTATAGTAAATACCACTGCAACCAGAAAAGTTATTAATTACAAGAAGGAGCCAAACCGGTTTGGTTCAGTGGATGGAGTGTCGGCCTGTGCACTGAAAGGTCCCAGGTTCGATTCTGGTCAAGGGCATGTACCTTGGTTGCAGGCACATCCCCAGTAGGAGGTGTGCAGGAGGCAACTGATCGATGTTTCTCTCTCATCGATGTTTCCATCGCTCTATCCCTCTCCCTCCCTCTCTGTAAAAAAATCAATAAAATATATTAAAAAAATTAAAAGGAGGAAACTATCTCTGTCAGTGCTACACTCAAATCTTTCCAGATTTCTCTCTTCACCTTTCCTTTCTCCTTCTCTCCTTCACTCCTCTCACTTCCGCCAATATTTACTAATTCTCATCTCGTGCAAGGCACGGCGTTTGGGGAATAAAGCTGTAAACATCGCTGCATTTGATGGATTTCTGACCACGAGCACGATGCTTTCTATTAACTTTTTGTAATTCCCGTGTCAACCACACTCAGAGGCGTTGTGGCGACCCTTCTCCAGAGGATGACGCCGAGGCTCAGAAAGGTCAGGCACCTTGCCTCAGAGACAGCTGGCAGACAGCGCGCGGGGCTTCTCCGACCCAGAACCGCCCTCTCCCTGCGCAGCTCGGTGGCTTCCGGGAGAGCTCCGCCCGAGTCATTCCTGCCGAGCGGCCTTTCCGTGGATTGCTGCCAGCCTCGCTCCACACTGAGGAGCCAGTTGCAGTTTCTGCTGGAGGTGTTTAATGCAGACTGGGGTTGTTTTATGGAGATTGCAAATTTTCTCTCCTTTCCTGTATAACCGCTAGGAGGACAATGCTTTCCTGTTGCTCAAATCACAGCTCACACCAGGAGAGACGGAGATGGGGAGGGGGGTGGGAGGAAAGGAGCAGGGCCTCGATGGGGAATTCAGAGAGACCTCTGCCGAGCGGAAGGTTGTGTGCTCGCAACTCGCTGTCCAGGTAAAGTGAACGCTGGATGTAGGCCAGTGGTCGGCAAACTCATTAGTCAACAGAGCCAAATATCAACAGTGCAACGATTGAAATTTCTTTTGAGAGCCACATTTTTTACACTTCAACTTCTTCTAACGCCACTTCTTCAAAACAGACTCGCCCAGGCCATGATATTTTGTGGAAGAGCCACACTCAAGGGGCCAAAGAGCCGCATGTGGCTTGAGAGCCGCAGTTTGCCGACCACAGGTGTAGGGGAATGATGACCCCGTGCTTGTAGGGGAACTCTGGATAAAACCAACTCTCAGCAGCTCCTTACTCTTGGAAATTCACTTATTTTGCAATTAACAGAAGGTAAGGGGAATTTCCTGGATTCCCCCTCACGAGAGCATTTTTGGATGGAGAATATAGATTCGCACAGCTCATTCTACTTCTGGGTTTATTAGCTCCATTGATGAAAATGAATCTGATTGTTTGAAGGCCTAGGCTTAATGGCTGGTTGTGGTGATTCTGTAGCAAAGGGGCTGCTGAAGGCCTCTGAGGGGATGGTTTCTATGGAAGGAACAAGAAAACGGAAAGGATGAGAACAAGAGGAGAGCATGCAAAGCCCTGTGATGGGAGGGTAAGGCAGGGATTTGTCTCCAATGGAGAAGAATTTGAGGGTTATTCTATTATCTGTTCCAGGTCCTCATTATGAGGAGTAAACAGTTTTGAAGGTTTTGGCTTTATGTTTGACTCTAAATTCTTCCGGCTGTGCCACTTCTTTAGCATCCTGGATAACCGAGTTAACAAAAAAGACTTCCTGATGCAAGAATCAATTACATCCTTTGTCCTTGATTGTTAAAAAATTGGGGCTTTTGGCCCAGCCGGTGTGGCTCAGGACTTGAGCATTGACCTATGAACCAAGAGGTCAGTCATAGTTTGATTCCCACTTGGGGCACTTGCCCAGGTTGTGGGCTTGATCTCCAGTAGGGGACGTGCAAGAGGCAGCCGATCAATGTTTCTCTCTCATCATTGATGTTTCTCTCTCTCTCCCCTTCTCCTTTCCTCTCTCTGAAATCAATAAATATATATTTTTAAAAAATTGGGGCTTCTGAAAAGTCATTAAAACCTGCAATACAACTACCTCCCCAAAGCCAACCAACCAACCAGACAACATTCCCCAAAAGAGAAAAAAGCATTTTATTTTAACAAAGAATATCAATATTTCCAAAATGAGAATGGTAACTTTTTAAAAATGATATTGAAGGATTTCCAGGAAAGAACAGATGAAAATATCCCCAAGTTGCAAATAATATACAACTTAAAATCATTTGAAAGAGCATCTGTTCACCTAAAATATACTCTACCACAATAAAGGATATAAGTGCATCATAGTCATTATCATGAGAAAGTGTACATGCAGGATTATGCACTTAACATAGAAAGTTAACCCTGTTTGTTTGCACGTTCCTTCTACAGGAAAGGCCTGAACAGATTATGCCTCACTGTGTTGGTCACCCAGATGCCTGAGGCGCCTACAACACAGTGAGGTGCAGCTTCACAGGAAGGTGAGCTAAGCTTCGAGGCTCTTTTAAACTTCCACCTTCCATCTCCTCTTGAAATCTGCGTATTGAAATGAAAATATTTTGGGGGGACCAATGTTACTGCGTGGAATTAAGCCATTCAGCCTTTTAAAATGTGTGGGAAGTTTTTTAAGTCGAAGAC